GCTGGTTAGTGGTCAGGATTTCCTCACACCGGAAGGGTCGAATTTCGTCGATGTCCTCCTTCCAGAGATCGGTACGAAGCGCCACCCTCCACTCTGTCTCTCTTTCCTCTGGGATAGGATACTCCATACTGCGCATCACATCCTGTAGTCGCTGCTGGAGCCTGGCGTCAAAGTGAGATACTGCACGGCCTTCCATCTCTGAAGTAGTGCTGGTTTTCCCAAATCTTTATGTAGACAGGGACGCTGTATGAACACTAGCGTCACCTTCAATTTGTAAATCCACGAACTGTGTCTCCGAGCTGCTTTACCTCGCACTAGGACGCCATCCCACCGCTTGCCACCAATGTAACGGATCACCTGGCACCCCGACTGGGTACCTCCGTTGAAAGATGCTCCTAGCGCTTCCAGAGGACTCCAAGCACTCCACCAGACACCATAAGCACCGCAGGCTGCAGCTATCTCCCTTCAGAACGAAGCAGGAACAAGCTCTTACAAGAGCTCAGTGATTATAGCAAGGGAATATGCCATAGCAATCCCTTGTAGCAGATTCCCCCAATAAGAGACAGGACTCAAGTTGAGGGTAAAAATAGAACTCTCTGGCTGCTAGCTTGCAGCCCTTTTTATTAGGTGCTCCCATGAAGGGGAGGGACACACACAGTAACGTACATTAACCAATCACACAATAGTTACATCCCACACATAGCCCTCCCCTCTACCTGTAAACTAATTATCTGTACACACAGGAAAATACAATTATCATAGGTAGGGAAAATACAGTTTTTACACAACATTCATAACTCCCAAAATATACATCACATTCGCATAAAAATACATATTCACAATCAATCCATTCAGGGGAACAACATATTAAAAAATGGCATGAATCAGACCAGGGGTTCAAAAGTTAGTAAAAGTATCTTTTGTTCCCCCTGGCTCAAACAGTAAAAGTAAAACATCCCCACAATGCATCCTGGCTTCCTCCCTTCTGCCCTGGAGATAATTGGAGAAGGAATCTAATTATCTCCAAAGACAGAGCCAAACTCCATTACCCACATGGCAGACAAAAGACAGTAAAAGACATAAAATTACATACTGACACATTTAGTACATAAAACACACATTTCTACATATCCCCAGATAGCTTGGATCTGACTGCACATTATTAGATGAATGGCACTCAGATCACACGAATAAGCCTTTCTGCAGGGAAAATAAACAGTTTAACCTGCAGGGCCATAGTCCAAAGGCAAGAGGCGGGCAAGCAGCCCCCTCCAAGGACACGTGGCGAGGTCGGTTTTGCCACAATGTGTTCAGCAACATCTCCTGGAGTACAGTGATATCCCCCATGTATAGGTGTGTCATGTTCTCTGGGGGCTGAAAGACCTTATTTGGAAGGTGTGCATTCCAGTTTTCCATCTTGGAATTTTCACAGCTGGTCATGCACACATATCCTATTTGGGACGTTTTTGAAGCCGGCCTATGTAATTTACCCCCATCAAACCATATATTTTTGAAAAGTAGACACCATAGGGTATTTCAAATGGTGGTATTTTAACACTTTACATGCACTAATTCTACCACCAGTCTTTTTCAAACTTTTACGTAGTAATTATTTTGTGTTACATTTCTCTCACATTATACTTTAGGCAAGTTCCTGTTATGTGTTACTGACAAAGAACACCCAAACATCTCCCGAGTACAACAGTGCCCCCAATGTACAGGTTTTATGGGACTTGCAAACTTACAGGAGCCAAATGTAAGGCTTTCTCCTTTTACGTGTTTGCACATTGAAATTTGCCAGATTGGTTTGCTGGGCCTATGTTGCCTTTGAGACCGTATAGCAGCCCAGGAATGAAAATTAACCCCATTGAAAAAAATATATATAATACATTTGTATGTATGTGTTTGTGTGTGTGTGTGTGTATATCATATATAATGCATATATATGATTTCATTATAAGTGTATTTTGATATATATATATATACATATATATATATATATATATATATATATATATATATATATATAGTGTTCAAGTAGAGATTGTAGCCGTATTAGTCCAGTGATGTAGATGTAAAAAAACAGATAAAATTCTTATCTCGTAATACCTTTTTTATTGGACTAACAGAATTTTTTAATGACAAGCTTTTGGGAGAACCTCCCTTTCTCAAGTCTGAAGCATTTCTGAGCAAAACGACACATAGAATTCAAAGTTGAGTTGTGATACAGGGGTTAAAGCGACATGAGTGTAGATAAGACACAGGTTTGTTAGAAAATAGACACCATCTTAGCAGAGGGTCATAAATATCTTGTTGAAGAGAAGAGTAGGGGGGAGAGAGGGAAAAGAAAAACAAACAAGCAGACAGTGCACAGGATGATACACTTTATACATGCACACACACAGAAATATGTATATGTGAATGCATAAACACATGTATATATACATATACATAAACACATATACATACATGCACATGGACTCATATACACAAATATAAATGCACAGTAATATACATAAGCATTCATGCATACGAGTATGGGAAAGCATAGGTCTACACATAGTACTTTGTATATAGATAGAATAAACATATAGGAATGCATTTTAAAGTGTTGGTACATATGACAGAATAGTAAGATAATGCTGGGAGAGTGTTCATGTAAAGTGTTGGTAGTGGGACAGGAATCCCAAATCAATATTTAGTCCTCTCTTCTTGCTGTTAAACCATTTAATCATTCTGGCTTCAAAGGCTTTTCTTTCCTGGGTATTTTTAAAACCCCCTTTCAGTATTTTGATTTTTAGGTCCTTCAGTGAGTGGCCAGGCTGGGTAAAGTGGTGTCCCACAGGAGTGCAGTATGATTCTTCTTTGTGGTGTTTAATAGAGTGTCTGTGCATATTCATTATGCCATTTAATGGCTGGGTGGTTTCCCCAATGTAGCATCCTAGGTGGCATTTTATGCATTGAATCATGTATACCACATTGCTGGATGTGCAGGAGTATGAACCTTTAATGCTGTAGGTTTTATTGTTGTGTGTGGCTGTGTTGTCTGTGCATATGTGCTGACACAGTTTGCAGCGAGGTTTTTTGCATTGACTGGTCCCGTTTTCTTCGTTCTTACCATCAGTGGGCAGCCTCCTGTTGATTAATTTTTGTTGGAGGTTTGGTGATTGTCTGAAGGCTAAAATGGGTGTTTCAGGGAAAATGTTTTTCAGAGTCTCATCTTCTGTTAATATTGGTTGTAGGTCTTTGATGATTTTCCGTATTTCCTCAAGAGCAGGGTTGTAGGTGACCACAAGTGGCACTCGTGTGCATATTTTTTTCTCTCTGTATTGTAGCAGGCGCGTACGTGGCGTTTTTACAGCAGAGTTGATTTGTTTGGTAATAGTCTTTGGTTTGTAGCCTTTCTGTCTCATAGATTGGGAGAGTACATTTAGATGGGAATTACAGTCATTAGGATCAGAGCATATGCGATGGTACCTAGTGGCTTGGCTGTAGATGATGCCCTGTTTAGTATGAGAGGGGTGGAAGCTGGAGCTGTGTAGGTAACTGCACCTGTCTGTGGGTTTTCTGTAAACCGAGGTGTGGATTGTGCCATTATTACTTGTCACAGTTGTGTCCAGAAAATTCACAGATCTAGTGGAATATTCCATTTTTAGTTTGATTGATGGATGGAATGTGTTGAAAGAGTCATGGAACTGTATCAGTTTTTCTTTGCTTTCAGTCCAAATTATGAAGATATCATCGATGTAGCGATAATATTTGTATGGTTTGGTGTGTTGGATTTCTAGGAATCTCTGTTCAAGATCTGCCATAAACAGATTAGCATATTGGGGTGCCATCTTAGTGCCCATAGCAATGCCCATGGTTTGTAGGTAAACCTCATTGTTGAAACTGAAGTAGTTATGTGTGAGGATAAATAGTGCCAGTTCTGTGATAATTCGGGGGCTGTATTTTTGGTTGTTGACATGAGAGAGAAAATGGAAGCAAGCATTGATGCCATCTGTGTGTGGAATGTTGCTGTACAGAGATTCCACATCCATGGTTACAAGGATGGTGTTAGCAGGGAGATTGGTGATTTGGCTGAGTTTGTTGAGGAAGTAGCAAGAGAAATCTGGTATTGTTAACATTTCGGATTACAAACTATCTGACCCAGAAGCATCAGTTCTCTCCAAAGGACTATCATTTTGCCCTAGCACAAAACTTGATGACATTGGGCTCTACTCTGACGTGGAAGAATTTTTCAGAAGGATGCGACTTAAGGAATACTTCCATGACAAAGAGAGCACTGAAACCACAATGGATTACAACAACCGGAAAAAAAACACTAATTTCAGTCCAGCACCAGGACGAAATGCCAAACTGGACAGTTACATTGAAAGTTTCCTTCTAAGAACAGTATCCTTGACAACCAAGCAAAACCAAAAGAAAATGTTTCATAATCTCTCAGTACAGGAACAAATGGCTATAAATGACCTGAAAAATAATCATGCTATCACCATCAAACCAGCAGACAAGGGAGGAGCAGTAGTGATAATGAACACCCAGGACTACATAAAAGAGGGTGACAGGCAATTGTCAGATGACAAATACTATAGAAAACTAAATGAAGACCCCACCAAGGAATATACATCACAACTTAGGGAGCTCATTAAATCCTTCCCTGAGAACTTACACCTAGAACTGCAATCACTCATACCAACTAGTCCCTGCATGGGCACTTTCTATATGCTTCCCAAAATCCACAAAGCAGGTAACCCTAATTACAGGAATGGGAACTCTCACAGAACAGATCTCAGGACTGGTAGAAAATACCCTAAAACCTCTAGTCACCAACACTAACAGCTTCATAAAAGACACAACCGACTTCCTCAACAAACTCAGCCAAATCACCAATCTCCCTGCTAACACCATCCTTGTAACCATGGATGTGGAATCTCTGTACAGCAACATTCCACATACAGATGGCATCAATGCTTGCTTCCATTTTCTCTCTCATGTCAACAACCAAAAATACAGCCCCCGAATTATCACAGAACTGGCACTATTTATCCTCACACATAACTACTTCAGTTTCAACAATGAGGTTTACCTACAAACCATGGGCACTGCTATGGGCACTAAGATGGCACCCCAATATGCTAATCTGTTTATGGCAGATCTTGAACAGAGATTCCTAGAAAACCAACACACCAAACCATACAAATATTATCGCTACATCGATGATATCTTCATAATTTGGACTGAAAGCAAAGAAAAACTGATACAGTTCCATGACTCTTTCAACACATTCCATCCATCAATCAAACTAAAAATGGAATATTCCACTAGATCTGTGAATTTTCTGGACACAACTGTGACATGTAATAATAGCACAATCCACACCTCGGTTTACAGAAAACCCACAGACAGGTGCAGTTACCTACACAGCTCAAGCTTCCACCCCTCTCATACTAAACAGGGCATCATCTACAGCCAAGCCACTAGGTACCATCGCATATGCTCTGATCCTAATGACCGTAATTCCCATCTAAATGTACTCTCCCAATCTATGAGACAGAAAGGCTACAAACCAAAGACTATTACCAAACAAATCAACTCTGCTGTAAAAACGCCACGTACGCGCCTGCTACAATACAGAGAGAAAAAAATATGCACACGAGTGCCACTTGTGGTCACCTACAACCCTGCTCTTGAGGAAATACGGAAAATCATCAAAGACCTACAACCAATATTAACAGAAGATGAGACTCTGAAAAACATTTTCCCTGAAACACCCATTTTGGCCTTCAGACAACCACCAAACCTCCAACAAAAATTAATCAACAGGAGGCTGCCCACTGATGGTAAGAACGAAGAAAACGGGACCAGTCAATGCAAAAAACCTCGCTGCAAACTGTGTCAGCACATATGCACAGACAACACAGCCACACACAACAATAAAACCTACAGCATTAAAGGTTCATACTCCTGCACATCCAGCAATGTGGTATACATGATTCAATGCATAAAATGCCACCTAGGATGCTACATTGGGGAAACCACCCAGCCATTAAATGGCAGAATGAATATGCACAGACACTCTATTAAACACCACAAAGAAGAATCATACTGCACTCCTGTGGGACACCACTTTACCCAGCCTGGCCACTCACTGAAGGACCTAAAAATCAAAATACTGAAAGGGGGTTTTAAAAATACCCAGGAAAGAAAAGCCTTTGAAGCCAGAATGATTAAATGGTTTAACAGCAAGAAGAGAGGACTAAATATTGATTTGGGATTCCTGTCCCACTACCAACACTTTACATGAACACTCTCCCAGCATTATCTTACTATTCTGTCATATGTACCAACACTTTAAAATGCATTCCTATATGTTTATTCTATCTATATACAAAGTACTATGTGTAGACCTATGCTTTCCCATACTCGTATGCATGAATGCTTATATATATTACTGTGCATTTATATTTGTGTATATGAGTCCATGTGCATGTATGTATATGTGTTTATGTATATGTATATATACATGTGTTTATGCATTCACATATACATATTTCTGTGTGTGTGCATGTATAAAGTGTATCATCCTGTGCACTGTCTGCTTGTTTGTTTTTCTTTTCCCTCTCTCCCCCCTACTCTTCTCTTCAACAAGATATTTATGACCCTCTGCTAAGATGGTGTCTATTTTCTAACAAACCTGTGTCTTATCTACACTCATGTCGCTTTAACCCCTGTATCACAACTCAACTTTGAATTCTATGTGTCGTTTTGCTCAGAAATGCTTCAGACTTGAGAAAGGGAGGTTCTCCCGAAAGCTTGTCATTAAAAAATTCTGTTAGTCCAATAAAAAAGGTATTACGAGATAAGAATTTTATCTGTTTTTTATATATATATATATATATATATATATATATATATATATATGTATGTATGTATGTATCTCAAAGTACACTTATAATGAAATCATATATTTGCATTATATATGTAAAATATATTATAAAATGCTTTAATTATTTTATAATATATTATACATTTATATGTATAATATATTTTTAATTTTTTTTTACTTTTTAGAAGCCTGGGGGACTGTCTGACAGCTCAGACAGCCCCCCTGCTGGCAGCTTCTAGACTCCTATTGCGGCGATGTGATCATAGTGATCACATGGCCCTGGAGGGCTGGGGTGATCGGCGCTGCTGTAGGGAGACTGCTGGGGTCTCCGGCATTCCCCCCCAACCGTGATTGTCGTGGCTCGCCGGTCAGGGCTCCTATTTGCCGTGGTTGTAATAGGTACGTCCGCGGTCCTTAACAGTCGGGATATACATTGATATATATCAAAATACAGTTAGAGTAATATATATATATATATATATATATATATATATATAATTTTTGAAAATTATTTTTACAGTTTTTATTTATTTTTAATTACTACTTATTTTTTATAATATAACTATATATATATATATATAAATATATATATATATATATATATACACAATATATATAGTTATTATATATATACATGTGTAATTTTACTCTGTGTGTTTTTATATTAATATATGTATATATTAATAAAAAATACACTTAGTATGATTTTATATATAAGATATATATAGTGACTGAGGGAGGAGGTGACTGAGGTAGGGGTTGACTGGTGACAGAGTGACTGAGGCAGGGGGTGACTGGTGACAGTGACTGAGGGAGGGCTGACTGGTGATAGAGAGAAGAGGTGAGAATGGCAGTGTGACGGACCGCCTGCACCCTGACCGGGTACCTCAGTCAATCGCTGCTTCCTAGTACTTGCGAGCACCATAAGCACTGCACTGGAACACCATAACCACCGTAAACCCCACAAACTGCCGCAGCTTGGTTGGGGTCTCACCGACCTCCACCCACCCTGGACCCAAGACCAGGATTCAGCTTCCAGTGGGTAGGCCTCTCCTAGTCCAGAGAGTGTAGCAGGAACAGCTCTTATAAGAGCTAGTGATTATACTCAGGGGAGTATTGTGATATAGCAATCCCCAGAGTGAATGTAGTTCCCCAATCCCCCAAACATGAGCCAAGACTTCATGAAGGAGTAAACGAATCTCTCTTTAATGGGAGCCACACTTGGCCTTATATGACAATCCCCATGCAAGGGGTAGGCCCACATGGACCTGATGGTAGACTGATTTGCAACTTCACAGACCAATAACAATAAGGTTACAAGGCATGACACTCCCACACAGCACACAATCCCTCCCCTCTGCATGGGAGATAATTGGATCAGTAACTGTACTAATTCTAATCCAAATCACTCCAAGCATAGGGATAAAAACATACTTTTTTTAAAACACCCCAAAAGTACCCTAAAAATACATAAAACACTGTTACAAATGTTACATCCCCTGATAGCCCTGATCTGGGTGACCAACATATCCAAAAATCACCCAAATCAGTTCAGGGGTTCAGGAATTTCCTGGAAGTCTTATTTTTGACCGACTGTGCACAAGCTCCTATGCCTAAAAAAGTTCCAGGGAACCTGGGCTAACGGTCTGTCTCTATGTCTGGAGTGCAAAAGTACATAGCTCACATGAACAGAGCCTTTTCAAGTGCATTGGGCAAGATGTATTGCAGGACCCACAGTCCTGAGGCAAGAGGCTGGCCAGCAGGCCCCTCCAAGAACCTGTGACAAGGTTACTTTTGTCACTGGCAGGGAGGGTATTATGATTAGGTAGGGGTAAATTTACAATAATATTATTAGCTTACCATTCAGGAGTTGCAGCAGGTGCTGTCTCTCATCATCTCCATCCCAGCCCAGGGTCAGGCAGTGCAGCAGGTGCAGGGGATCTAGACAGGTTGACTCTGATCCCCTGCATGTTTGGAGTGGCCATGCAGGGGATAAACCTGGCAAAATACACACTCTGCGCCCCCTGCTGGTACACTCCATAATAACCTCTGTGGTGCTCAGTGATGACTCAGAACACAGGCTGGGAATCCCCTCCCTGTGCTCTGACTCATTGACTGAGCGCCGGAGCCGCAAGGGAGAGATTATTAACTAGCAGGAGGTACAGAGCATGGCACCCCTGTACTGAGTGACACGCGGAGAGGAGCGCCCCTCTCCCCTGGTATTAATAATGCAGCTGTTTCTACTAAACTATCCAATGAATAATATACACTATTAAAATGAACGATTTGGAAAACTGGCTAGATAAACCTATTTCCTGAATAGGCCACATAAATGTGGTTAAAATGAAAATGAAAAAAAAAATATTTCATTTGCTTGCAACAAATAACTGACACATTCATATGGCAAAACAGATGCCACAGAATAGGCAGATGTTTTATTTATAGCCCCAAATCAGAAGAGGGCTGGGACTACTAAATTTGTATTTATACTATTTAGCAGCATAACATGCTCAGATAATAACATGGCACTCACCCCCAGACTGCAGTAGGAGGGTCGACTTGGAGTCTCTTGTTATGAGTCAAGATGTGTTGCATTTTTTTATCTGGTGCTCTAGGGAAGACATAGCCCTACTAAAAACATCATGCCAGGCTATATTAAATTCAATTTGGAATTGGGATGATTGCCATACAAAATATGCCTTGGCCCCAAGCCCTTCCCCCATTACCCCAATATTAACCCCTTAAGGACACAGCTTCAGAAGCTTGACTTACGCTTAATGACACAAGCAATTTTTGCATTTTCTTGCTGTTTGCGTTCAACTGCAATTTGCATCTCTCTCATTTATTGCACCGACACATATTATATACTGTTTTTTAAAGGACAGAAAGGGCTTTAATTTGATATAACATATATATATATAAATGCTTACTTATTATAAAAAAAATACAG